ATACTAGTTCTAATGACACCATAATTGTGTATAGTACTGTAGTACGTCTCTAAACATGTCACACACGTCACCGGGCACACGACGTTGTTTCAACGTTGAAATTTGGTTGAAAAAAGGTCGCGACATCGACAACCTAATATCAACGTTGCTCTGACGTTGTTTTACGAACGTTGGTTCAACAGCAGCAAACAGACGTCGTATCAACGTTCGTGTATGGTTAGTTATACGACGTCAACTTGTGAAGTATTCTCAACATTGTTTCAGCGCGGATTCCCACCTTGAATTATGGTTGACGAGATTGGCAACCTAATCTCAACGTTGTTTCAACGTCGAAACAGTAACGTCAAATGAATGCAATTTGCATTTTCAATTCCTTTTTTTACGTCTGGGTGATCATTTCCAACGTTGATTCAACGTGTGGTTGACTAGACGTCGTTTTTGTCCGCTGGAACGTAGGCATTGCTTACCTATCTATATCTTTTGCAGAAACAGTTTACGGGGTCGGGTTTTTCCTCGCTGGATCCAGATTCGGTGGACTTACTAAAATATCCTGACGTAGCCAAGGTTCAATGGACATATACCACACTTGATCCCGGTGACTGTATTTACATTCCTTCAGGTAGGGACAATGTTAACTTGCGACTTTTTGTTGTACCGACCTTAAAAGTATTCCAGAATTACTAGCTATAGCAGATACCAGCAAAATGTAAGTATGCAGATAGTGAGAGGTCCGCGTACGAAAGATTGATAAAATTACCAGACCGTGATCTTGGCATATACCTTCAGTGTCCCAGCAACCGTTGACCTTCCCCCAAATTTGGTCCCTCAAAATATGGCCCTCCGTCGGAAATTTGGCCCCCTTGAAAACATACTTTACTTTATCGTATCGCGTGATACGCTCGGAAATCGTGAAGCTTCTTCTAAAACCAAGTTACTGAAAGTGTTTGTCAGTATTTATAGTTATTGCGGCTTGAAGACCAAGCTCTAAATTACTAAAAGTTCAGCTACTGGATTTTTGGTATATACTGTATATGGGCGTGCTCATGAGACACCAAAATAAGGTGTCCTCATAAGCACGCTCATATATGTACCAAAATCCAGCTATGCTCAATTTGAGCAGCCTCATATATGTACCAAAATCCAGTAATATGCTCATGATCAAAATCACGAGGGTACTCGTTTTTGGTGTGTACATATACTGTATATATATATATGAAGATGCTCAAATGCATACTGGATTTTGGTGCATACATGGGCGTGCGCATGAGATACCAACATAAGGTATGCTCATAAGCACAATGAACTTCATATATGTACCATTACCGAAATCATATAATTGCCACATTGATACATAGATTATTATCAGACTAAATTTTTTTCTCAGCGCTGCAAATAATTCGTGCAAACTGGTTGTCTTCGCTCTTCAGTACAGACTGTGCTAATATCTTTATACGTTTCAGAATACTTGCACCAAGTGCGGTCACACAAACGAACCATCTCAGCGACCATGCTGTTCACGACAGATACCAGCAAATCATTCCAAGAGACGAACTGCGAAGACGCGAGCTTTAACTACACTCCTCTGAGCGCGATAGACGTACACTGGACTTATAAGAAAGGCGATAAGACCATCGATATGGGATACATCAACGTTGAACTTTTACGACAGAATCTGGTTGACATTTTCCACATGCTGGGCAAAGGATTTTTGACGGTGGATGATTTTGTGCATGTTTACTCCCTTGCCAGTAAAGATGAAGAGGACGAACAGGTATTCTGGCTTTGCATTTGATCACAGTAGGAATTTTGCATATAGGTATATTTCAAGTTTTGAAGGATTTGTAAGAAATGTTTGAGGGAACTGACTGGGTGTTAAAAATCGAGTCAGTTTCCGCAAATATCTCTTACGAATCTTTTAAAACGTACAATTTACCTAATATGCAAAATTCTTTCTGTGATCACAGAAACTTTATAATTGCTAGTGTCAAATCAGCCTTTAATAACCAAAAAATCATTAGCAGTAGGGGATGTCATCTGATGTCACTTACTGGACCTCTAGGAAGAACAGTTTAGGACTCAAAGAGCTATCCAGTATAAATAAAGTTAGTTTAGTTTATGTTTCCTCCTGTAGTAACACTGGATGAACAAGAGTTGATCCTTACTGAACCTCTAGGAAGAATAGTTTAGGACTCAAAGAGCTATCCAGTATAAATAGAGTTACTTTCGTTTATGTTTCCTCCTGTAGTAACACTGGATCAATAAGAGATGATTCTTACTGGACCTCTAGGGAGAACAGTTTAGGACTCAAAGAGCTATCCAGTATAAATAGAGTTAGTTTAGTTTAGGTTTCCTCCTGTAGTAACACTGGATCAATAAGAGATGATCTTTACTGGACCTCTAGGGAGAACAGTTTAGAACTGATAGAGCTATCCAGTATAAATAAAGTTAGTTTAGTTTAGGTTTCCTCCTGTAGTAACACTGGATCAATAAGGGATGACTCTTACTGGAACTTTGGGGAGAACAGTTTAGGACTCAAAGAGCTATCCAGTATAAATAGAGTTAGTTTAGTTTATGCTTCCTCCTGTAGTAACACTGGATCAATAAGAGATGATCCTTACTGGACCTCAAGCAGGGCCGTTCACA